TGACCTCGTAGACTGAGGGTCATGACCTCTGAGGGTAGACTGAGTCCTGACCTCGTAGACTGATGACCTCGTAGACTGAGACTGAGTAGACTGAGGGTCTGACCTCGTAGACATGACCTCGTAGACTGAGGGTCATGACCTCGTAGACTGAGGGTCATGGTAGACTGATGACCTCGTAGACTGAGGGATGACCTCGTAGACTGAGGGTCATGACCTCGTAGACTGAGAGTCCTGACCTCGTAGACTGAGGCTGAGGGTCATGGTCTGAGGGTCATGACCTCGTAGACTGTCCTGACCTCGTAGACTGAGGGTCATGACCTCGTAGACTGAGGGTCATGACCTCGTAGACTGAGGGTCATGGGTGACCTCGTAGACTGAGGGTCATGACCTCGTAGACTGAGGGTCATGACCTCGTGACTGAGGGTCCTGACCTCGTAGACTGAGGGTCATGACCTCGTAGACTGACTGAGGTCATGACCTCGTAGACTGAGGGTCCTGACCTCGTAGACTGAGGTAGACTGAGGGTCATGTCCTGACCTCGTAGACTGAGGGTCATGACCTCGTAGACTGACCTCGTAGACTGAGGGTCATGACCTCGTAGACTGAGGGTCCTGACCTCGTAGACTGAGGGTCCTGACCTCGTAGACTGAGGTCCTGACCTCGTAGACTGAGTAGACTGAGGGTCATGACCTCGTAGACCTGACCTCGTAGACTGAGAGTCCTGACCTCGTAGACTGAGGGTCCTGACCTCGTAGACTGAGACCTCGTCCTGACCTCGTATGACTGAGAGGGTCATGACCTCGTAGACTGAGGGTCCTGACCTCGTAGACTGATGAGTCCTGACCTCGTAGACTGAGAGTCCTGACCTCGTAGACTGAGAGTCCTGACCTCGTAGACTGAGTAGACTGAGAGTCCTGACCTCGTAGACTGAGTCCTGACCTCGTAGACTCATCGTGACTGAGAGTCCTGACCTCGTAGACTGAGAGTCCTGACCTCGTAGACTGAGACTGAGAGTCCTGACCTCGTAGACTGAGAGTCCTGACCTCGTAGACTGAGAGTCCTGACCTCGTAGACTGAGAGTCCTGACCTCGTAGACTGAGAGTCCTGACCTCGTAGACTGAGAGTCCTGACCTCGTAGACTGAGAGTCCTGACCTCGTAGACTGAGAGTCCTGACGTAGACTGAGAGTCTGACCTCGTAGACTGAGAGTCCTGACCTCGTAGACTGTCCTGACCTCTGAGAGTCCTGACCTCGTAGACTGAGAGTCCTGACCTCTGACCTTAGACTGAGAGTCCTGACCTCATTGACTGAGAGTCCTGACCTCGTAGACTGAGAGTCCTGACCTCGTAGACTGAGAGTCCTGACCTCGTAGACTGAGAGTCCTGACCTCATTGACTGAGAGTCCTGACCTCGTAGACTGAGAGTCCTGACCTCATTGACTGAGAGTCCTGACCTCATTGACTGAGAGTCCTGACCTCGTAGACTGAGAGTCCTGACCTCATAGACTGAGAGTCCTGACCTCATTGACTGAGAGTCCTGACCTCGTAGACTGAGAGTCCTGACCTCGTAGACTGAGAGTCCTGACCTCGTAGACTGAGAGTCCTGACCTCGTAGACTGAGAGTCCTGACCTCGTAGACTGAGAGTCCTGACCTCATGACCTCGTAGACTGAGAGTCCTGACCTCGTAGACTCATGACCTCGTAGACTGAGAGTCCTGACCTCGTAGACTGAGAGTCCTGACCTGAGAGTCCTGTCCTGATTGACTGAGAGTCCTGACCTCATTGACTGAGAGTCCTGACCTCATTGACTGAGAGTCCTGACCTCATTGACTGAGAGTCCTGACCTCATTGACTGAGAGTCCTGACCTCTGACCTAGACTGAGAGTCCTGACCTCATTGACTGAGAGTCCTGACCTCGTAGACTGAGAGTCCTGACCTCGTAGACTGAGAGTCCTGACCTCATAGACTGAGAGTCCTGACCTCATTGACTGAGAGTCATGACCTCGTAGACTGAGAGTCCTGACCTCATTGACTGAGAGTCCTGACCTCATTGACTGAGAGTCCTGACCTCGTAGACTGAGAGTCCTGACCTCGTAGACTGAGAGTCCTGACCTCATTGACTCAGTCCTGACCTCAGTGACTGAGGGTCCTGACCTCATGAGAGTCCTGACCTCACTGAGAGTCCTGACCTCATTGACTGAGAGTCCTGACCTCGTAGACTGAGAGTCCTGACCTCGTAGACTGAGAGTCATGACCTCGTAGACTGAGAGTCCTGACTCGTAGACTGAGAGTCCTGATCTCGTAGACTGAGGCTCACTGTGACAATATGTATACCTGATGTATATTGTCACTTGTGTGTAGAGAACCTGGCGAGGAGTTTAATATACATGTTTAACGACAGTCCCGCTCCTGTGCAAGGTAAGTCCACTACGGGCTCACCATAGCCCGTGCTACTTGGAACGTTTAGTTCCCAGTAGCTGAATCTTAAACAACAAACAACAACATGATTAACATTATGGAAACTCTGGTCAAGTTGTCTTATCTGTCTTAACCATATTGTCTGTAATATTGATTTAACATTGTTAAAAATGCTTAACAGCATTAATCATCTTGTGTTTATCATTGATGCAACATTGATGAAAATGTTTTACATCATTAATCATGTTGTATTTAGCACTGATATAACATTCAGCAAAAGCTCAAAAACAATAATCACATTGTGTTTATACCAAGACATTACGTCAAGAAAACAACGCATCAATAACTATGTTTAACAAACCCAAAACACAAGACAAAATATTCAGATAATTAGTCACGGGAAATTTGTCTCAAGAACAGTTCCATAATTCTTGTTTATATGTGAATGTTACAGTTTGTAGTTCATAATTATGTTCTTTACCTTGTTACTGAGTGAACAGCGGGTAGTTATGTTGTTAAGTGGAGTATACTATTGAGCTGGTGTATACTCACAGATGTATACCTCACTTGTCTGTTTATATACACCCAGATGTTTACCCCACTTCTTAGTATATATCTTGAGGTTATCTTGAGAGGATTTCGGGGCTTAGCGTCCCAGCGGCCCGGTCCTCGACCAGGCCTCCTTCTTGTTACACACTTCCAGGAAGCAACCCGTAGCAGCTATCTAACTCCCAGGTACCTATTTACTGCTAGGTGAACAGATGCATCAGGGTGAAAGAAACTCTGCCCATTTGTTTCCGGCTTCACCGGGGATCGAACTTGAAACCTCAGGACGACGAATCCCGAGCGCTATCCATTCAGCTGTCAGACCCCCTATTCACCACCATATACCACCATATACACTGAGATGTATACCCCACTTCCCTGTGTATATATACACTGAGATGTATACCCCACTTCCCTGTGTATATATACACTGAGATGTATACCCCACTTCCCTGTGTATATATACACTGAGATGTATACCCCACTTCCCTGTGTATATATACACTGAGATGTATACCCCACTTCCCTGTGTATATACACCGAGATGTATACCCCACTTCCCTGTATATATACACTGAGATGTATACCCCACTTCCCGGTGTATATACACCGAGATGTATACCCCACTTCCTTGTGTATATATATATACACTGAGATGTATACCCAACTTCCCTGTGTATATACACTGAGATGTATACCCAACTTCCCTGTGTATATATATATACACTGAGATGTATACCCAACTTCCCGGTGTATATACACTGAGATGTATACCCCACTTCCTTGTGTATATACACTGAGATGTATACCCCACTTCCTGGTGTATATACAATGAGATGTATACCCCACTTCCCGGTGTATATACACCGAGATGTATACCCAACTTCCTGGTGTATATACACCGAGATGTATACCCAACTTCATGTATACCCCACTTACCCCACTTCCTGGTGTATATACCTGAGATGTATACCCCACTCCCTACACCGAGTGTATATATACACCGAGATGTATACCCCACTTCCCTGTGTATATATATATACACCGAGATGTATACCCCACTTCCCTGTGTATATACACTGAGATGTATACCCAACTTCCCTGTGTATATACACTGAGATGTATACCCCACTTCCCTGTGTATATACACTGAGATGTATACCCCACTTCCCTGTGTATATATACACTGAGATGTATACCCAACTTCCTGGTGTATATACACTGAGATGTATACCCAACTTCCTGGTGTATATACACCGGGATGTATACCCAACTTCCTGGTGTATATACACTGAGATGTATACCCCACTTCCCTGTGTATATACACCGGGATGTATACCCAACTTCCTGGTGTATATACACTGAGATGTATACCCAACTTCCTGGTGTATATACACTGAGAGTTTACTATAACTATGACTTTGTTTTGGGCTGAAGTATAAAACTATGGACGTGGCTTTAATTATAATAATAATACACAGAGAAGGGATGGGAACTATGAGGAAGAAGCGCCAAGCCATTACGACTATATAAATAAAAATAAAGAGAGTAATCACACTAACATGACTGCATCAGTGAGAAAATCCGTAGGAGCCGTGATGCACAGCGCATAGGTTCGAATCCTCATCACGGCTCCTGTGGATTTTCTCAGTAATAATGATACTTAAAAATTGTCATTTAAACTTCTAATGTTGGAAATAAACATTTAATTCACCTGGGCTGTCGGAGACTTGAACCGCGGACCCCACGTATGTGAGGCCGAAGCTCTACCGACTGGGCTATCGAGTAGTCATAATAAGGAAAGAGTCCATAGGCAACTTCTGCTACCATGCTGGAGTTTTCGCCTTCCCCTGACTACTATTGAAGCTCTGAGGAGTTAGTGATCCTCGCCCACGTCATATAAATTGACGCCCGCGTCAGTTTACATGACGCGGGCGTCATCACCAAGCCTAAGTCGTGCAGGTGTGACAGTCACCAGTCGTGGTGAATACTGACAACGGTTAAGACATCTGTTTACCAACATTAACACATAACTAACCTTGGACCTGTGGTAACTGTGGAGAGTGTTGATGACCTGGAGATGACCTGCCCGCAGTGCCAGGTCAGCAGGGGTCTCCCCAGCCCAGGTCAGGACGTGTGGGTACACCCGGCACACCTCCAGGAGGACCTTCACCACCCGGGCCGGGCCGAGCTCCGCCGCCCAGTGGAGGAGAGTCCTGCCAGTGTGGTCCTGCTGGTGGCCGTCATACACCAGGGGGATGCTGCCCGCAAGACGTCCAGTATTTCCCTCCCTGATCCACTGTAGCAATGCTGCATACTCTTCTTCACACTGTCTCCAACACTGTCGCTGTAACAGTCAGTATTATTTTTGTTGTAACTACAATGTCCAAACATGATTAACATTTCCACGAGAATAATCACAATAAACCGTCTGTTTAACTGTGATAATAAAAATTGGATGATATGTGATCATTAATCATGGCTATAGGAACCCGTGTGATATATTAATTTGAACTTTACAAGGCAATACTCATGTCTTGGCTGGATCACGTGATACGAACTCCAGAGGTGAGTGGCCGTCAGAGTTAAGAACAGTGGCCGCCAGAGTTAAGAACAGTGGCCGCCAGAGTTAAGAACAGTGGCCGTCAGAGTTAAGAACAGTGGCCGCCAGAGTTAAGAACAGTGGCCGTCAGAGTTAAGAACAGTGGCCGTCAGAGTTAAGAACAGTGGCCGCCAGAGTTAAGAACAGTGGCCGCCAGAGTTAAGAACAGTGGCCGCCAGAGTTAAGAACAGTGGCCGCCAGAGTTAAGAACAGTGGCCGCCAGAGTTAAGAACAGTGGCCGCCAGAGTTAAGAACAGTGGCCGCCAGAGTTAAGAACAGTGGCCGCCAGAGTTAAGAACAGTGGCCGCCAGAGTTAAGAACAGTGGCCGTCAGAGTTAAGAACAGTGGCCGCCAGAGTTAAGAACAGTGGCCGCCAGAGTTAAGAACAGTGGCCGCCAGAGTTAAGAACAGTGGCCGTCAGAGTTAAGAACAGTGGCCGCCAGAGTTAAGAACAGTGGCCGTCAGAGTTAAGAACAGTGGCCGCCAGAGTTAAGAACAGTGGCCGTCAGAGTTAAGAACAGTGGCCGCCGTTAAGAACAGTGGCCGTCAGAGTTAAGAACAGTGGCCGCCAGAGTTAAGAACAGTGGCCGCCAGAGTTAAGAACAGTGGCCGTCAGAGTTAAGAACAGTGGCCGTCAGAGTTAAGAACAGTGGCCGCCAGAGTTAAGAACAGTGGCCGCAGAGTTAAGAACAGAGTTAAGAACAGTGGCCGTCAGAGTTAAGAACAGTGGCCGCCAGAGTTAAGAACAGTGGCCGCCAGAGTTAAGAACAGTGGCCGCCAGAGTTAAGAACAGTGGCCGCCAGAGTTAAGAACAGTGACCGCCAGAGTTAAGAACAGTGACCGCCAGAGTTAAGAACAGTGGCCGCCAGAGTTAAGAACAGTGGCCGCTAGAGTTAAGAACAGTGGCGCCAGAGTTTGACCACCAGAGTTAAGAACAGTGGCCGTCAGAGTTAAGAACAGTGACCGCCAGAGTAAAGAACAGTGACCGCCAGAGTTAAGAACAGTGGCAGCCAGAGTTAAGAACAGTTACCGACAGAGTTAAGAACAGCGGCCGTCAGAGTTAAGAACAGTGACCGCCTGAGTTAAGAACGGTTGCCGTCAGAGTTAAGAACAGTGACCGCCTGAGTTAAGAACAGTAGCCGCCACAGTTAAGAACAGTGGCCGCCAGAGTTAAGAACAGTGGCCGCCAGAGTTAAGAACAGCGGCCGCCAGAGTTAAGAACAGCGGCCGCCAGAGTTAAGAACACCGGCCGCCAGAGTTAAGAACAGCGGCCGCCAGAGTTAAGAACAGTGCCTGCCAGAGCTAAGAACAGCGGGTGCCAGAGTTAAGAACAGTGGCTGCCAAAGTTAAGAACAGTGGCCGCCAGAGTTAAGAACAGCAGCCGCCAGAGTTAAGAACAGCGGCCGCCAGACTTAAGAACAGCGGCCGCCAGAGTTAAGAACATCAGAGTTAAGAACAGTGGACGCCAGAGTTAAGAACAGTGGCCGCAGAGTTAAGAACAGCGGCCGCCAGAGTTAAGAACAGCCAGAGATAAAAACAGTGGCCAACAGAGTTAAGAACAGTGGCCGCCAGAGTTAAGATCAGCGGCAGCCAGAGTTAAGAACAGCGGCCGCCAGAGTTAAGAACAGCGGCCGACAGAGTTAAGAACAGTGGCCACCAGAGTTAAGACAAGCGGCCGACAGAGTTAAGAACAGTGGCCGCCAGAGTTAAGACCAGCGGCCGTTAGAGTTAAGAACAGCGGCTACAAGAGTTAAGAACAGAGGACACTAGAGTTAAGAACAGCGGAAGCCAGATATAAGAACAGCGGCCGCAGCCAGAGTTAAGAACAGCGGCCGCCAGAGTTAAGAACAGCGGCCGCCAGAGTTAAGAACAGCGGCCGACAGAGTTAAGAACAGTGGCCGCCAGAGGACCAGCGGCCAGAGTTAAGAGAACAGTGGCCGCCAGAGTTAAGATCAGTGGCCGTCAGAGTTAAGCCGTCAGAGTTAAGAACAGTGGCCACCAGAGTAAAGAACAGTGACGCCAGAGTTAAGAACAGCGGCCACCAGAGTTAAGAACAGCGGCCACCAGAGTTAAGAACAGCGGCCGCCAGAGTTAAGAACAGCGGCCACCAGAGTTAAGAACAGCGGCCGCCAGAGTTAAGAACAGCGGCCACCAGAGTTAAGAACAGCGGCCGCCAGAGTTAAGAACAGCGGCCGCCAGAGTTAAGAACAGCGGCCACCAGAGTTAAGAACAGCGGCCACCAGAGTTAAGAACAGCGGCCGTAAGAGTTAAGAACAGCGGCCGCCAGAGTTAAGAACAGCGGCCGCCAGAGTTAAGAACAGCGGCCGCCAGAGTTAAGAACAGTGGCCACCAGAGTTAAGAACAGTGGCCGCCAGAGTTAACAACAGTGGCCACCAGAGTTAAGAACAGTGGCCACCAGAGTTAAGAACAGTGGCCGCCAGAGTTAAGAACAGTGGCCGCCATAGTTAAGAACAGTGGCCGCCAGAGTTAAGAACAGTGGCCGCCAGAGTTAAGAACAGTGGCCGCCAGAGTTAAGAACAGTGGCCGCCAGAGTTAAGAACGGTGGCCGCCCGAGTTAAGAACAGTGGCCGCCAGAGTTAAGAACAGTGGCCGCCAGAGTTAAGAACAGTGGCCGCCAGAGTTAAGAACAGTGGCCGCCAGAGTTAAGAACAGTGGCCGTCAGAGTTAAGAACAGTGGCCGCCAGAGTTAAGAACAGTGGCCGCCAGAGTTAAGAACAGTGGCCGTCAGAGTTAAGAACAGTGGCCGCCAGAGTTAAGAACAGTGGCCGCCAGAGTTAAGAACAGTGGCCGCCAGAGTTAAGAACAGTGGCCGTCAGAGTTAAGAACAGTGACCGCCAGAGTTAAGAACAGTGGCGCCAGAGTTAAGAACAGTGACCACCAGAGTTAAGAACAGTGGCCGCCAGAGTTAAGAACAGTGGCCACCAGAGTTAAGAACAGTGGCCGCCAGAGTTAAGAACAGTGGCCGCCAGAGTTAAGAACAGTGGCCGCCAGAGTTAAGAACAGTGGCCGCCAGAGTTAAGAACAGTGGCCGCCAGAGTTAAGAAAAGTGGCCGCCAGAGTTAAGAACAACGGCCGCCAGAGTTAAGAACAGTGGCCGCCAGAGTTAAGAACAGTGGCCGCCAGAGTTAAGAACAGTGGCCGTCAGAGTTAAGAACAGTGGCCGCCAGAGTTAAGAACAGTAGCCGCCAGAGTTAAGAACAGTGGCCGCCAGAGTTAAGAACAGCGGCCGCCAGAGTTAAGAACAGCGGCCGCCAGAGTTAAGAACAGCGGCCGCCAGAGTTAAGAACAGTGGCCGCCAGAGTTAAGAACAGCGGCCGCCAGAGTTAAGAACAGTGGCCGCCAGAGTTAAGAACAGTGGCCGCCAGAGTTAAGAACAGTGGCCGCCAGAGTTAAGAACAGTGGCCGTCAGAGTTAAGAACAGTGGCCGCCAGAGTTAAGAACAGTGGCCGCCAGAGTTAAGAACAGTGGTTAAGAACAGCCAGAGTTAAGAACAGTGGCCGCCAGAGTTAAGAACAGTTGCCGCCAGAGTTAAGAACAGCGGCCGTCAGAGTTAAGAACAGCGGCCGCCGGAGTTAAGAACAGCTGCCGCCAGAGTTAAGAACAGCAGCCGCCAGTGTTAAGAACAGCGGCCGCCAGAGTTAAGAACAGTGGCCGCCAGAGTTAAGAACAGTGCCGCCAGAGTTAAGAACAGCGGCAGCCAGAGTTAAGAACAGCGGCCGACAGAGTTAAGAACAGCGGCCACCAGAGTTAAGAACAGCGGCCGCCAGAGTTAAGAACAGCGGCCGACAGAGTTAAGAACAGTGGCCGCCAGAGTTAAGACAAGCGGCCGACAGAGTTAAGAACAGTGGCCGCCAGAGTTAAGAACAGTGGCCGCCATAGTTAAGAACAGCGGCCGCAAGAGTTAAGAACAGTGGCCGACAGAGTTAAGAACAGCGGCCGCCAGAGTTAAGAACAGTGGCCACCAGAGTTAAGAACAGTGACCACCAGAGTTAAGAACAGTAGCCACCAGAGTTAAGAACAGTGGCCGCCATAGATAAGAACAGCGGCCGCCAGAGTTAAGAACAGTGGCCGCCAGAGTTAAGAACAGTGGCCGTCAGAGTTAAGAACAGTGGCCGCCAGAGTTAAGAACAGTGGCCGCCAGAGTTAAGAACAGTGGCCGCCAGAGTTAAGAACAGTGGCCGCCAGAGTTAAGAACAGTGGCCGCCAGAGTTAAGAACAGTGGCCGCCAGAGTTAAGAACAGTGGCCGCCAGAGTAAGAACATCGGCTGTCAGAGATAAGAACAGTGGCCGCCAGAGTTAAGAACAGTGGCCGCCAGAGTTAAGAACAGTGGCCGTCAGAGTTAAGAACAGTGGCCGCCAGAGTTAAGAACAGTGGCCGCCAGAGTTAAGAACAGCGGGCGACAGAGTTAAGAACAGTGGCCGCCAGAGTTAAGAACAGTGGCCGTCAGAGTTAAGAACAGTGGCCGTCAGAGTTAAGAACAGTGGCCGCCAGAGTTAAGAACAGCGGGCGACAGAGTTAAGAACAGTGGCCGTCAGAGTTAAA